AAAAAAAAAAAAAACAAATCAACTCTGATAAATTAGAAAATATAATTTTTTAATTATAAACTTAAAAATAGTTGGTTTTTTGTGAAAAATTCATTTTTTTAATTAGAATAAAATTCCAAGTTTCAAACAACAAGGCCAGTGTCAATAACTGGGTCTTTTATCTTAACCAACTTTTTTTTTTTAATTGTTCATTTTTTTGTGTATTAAAAAAAAATATATCAATAAAATCATATGAATTAAATTAACCGACATCTAAAAATTTTTATATTTTTTTTTTTTGAAAAAATTATTACAAAAGAAATTAAAAAAAAAAAAATACATTTGGAAAATTATAAGTGCTATTTGAAAAAAATGTTTTTTAGCTCTAATTTAATAAATTAAGCTAAATAAAAAATGTCAGCTAATTTTATTATTACATAAAATTAAATAGAAATTTCGTTCAAAAAAATGAAAATTAAAATAGTTGACTCCACTTGTAAATAATTACGGAAATTTTAATTTTTTTTTTTAAGGACTTTTAGACATTTATTACTGTCAAAAACTATTTTTCAAAATATTCAATTAAGAGTGGAATAAAAAAAATATTTAAGCCCTTAAATTTACGGAAGAAATGAATATCTTTGGATGTAATAATTTTTCCTAGTTAAAAAAACTCGAGCGTAGTAGTTATATCAGCAGTAATTGTAACAGTAGTGGATCACTCTTGGCTCCCTATTATATTATATTATCATTATCATTATCATTATTATCATCGCCGTATGTATTACACTGCTGTTTAATAACCACCACAATGGACATTGTCCGTCACATGATAGGCCAATGATTTATGATAAAATAATACAAGTTAAATTTAATACGACAATATTACTGCTGTTGATAATTTGGGTTATACGGAGACTGCTTCGCATAAGGTTCTGCGGAGTAAGGTGGTGGCTGTCCTTGATGTGTCGAAGCTGATACTAAATTAAACAAGAAAAAAAAATTATTATCGCAATCATTAAATAATTAAATAAACTTTTTTTAATTGATAGTTAGAGATAAAAAATTACCTTGAGGGTTCGAAGCAGGATACGGGGGATAAATAGTGTGAATAGGTTGTTGATTTGGCATTGGATTATTTGCCGGTTGATGAATTACCATAACACCTCCTGGTGTTTGGACTCCTGGAACAGAAAGTGGGAAATTTTTTCTTACCGCCAAATAATTAAAAATCTGAATTATTTTTTTTAAGTAAATTATATTTTTATTAATTTTTTAATACACAGATCTATAAAAGTCATCATAAAAATAAAATGACATTAAATTTAGCATTAATTTGACAATTTTTTTTAACAAATAAATTTTCTCCGGAAAATTATTTAAAAAAAAAATTTTTTTTTAATTTCTACAAAAATTATTAAATATATGTTGAATAAATTTTTATATTAATAAAACATATTTATTTTATAATTCGAAAATTTTTTTAAGCAAACAAATTTTTTCCGGGAAATTATTTTTAAAAAATTAAATTTTTAAATAATTTATTTGTTACAAAAATTATTAAATTTAAGCTAAACAAATTTTCATAAAAATAAAACATTTAAATATAAAAATTTATTTCATAATTATTATCATTATTATTACTGTCATATCTTATCACAAACAAAAAAATGGAATGTATGTTGTTTAAGTCTAGAGTAAAAAAATTTGAAATACAAGTAAGTAAACCAGTACTTACAATAACGCTATTATAAAAAATACTGATAGCAATAAGCTAATATAAAAGTTTTTATATCAAAATAGCTAAAAAAGCATTTTGTTCGAGATATATAAGTATCAAACCATTAGGTAACACTGCAATGGTTTTATAAGTAGTTTGTAGTAAATATATAATGTAAAGAGTAATAATAATTAATAGTGTACGTTTGTTATAGTACGTAATTTTTAGGAATATAGTAGTACTGAAAAATGGTTTGTAATATATTATAAAGTTTTAAGCATGATCCTCTGAGTGAGACTTGGTGGGTAACGTGATGCACTTAAGCATAACCGGATCCTGAAAAAAAATGACTCATCAGTCTTTCAATACATTTATTATTTTATTTCGAACCCATTGTATTTTTATCGTGTATAGTCGATAATATTTTTTTTTTTTCTATATATAATAGTGTTATAGTTTAAATAGCCATGATAAAATAACGCTGACATAATATTAATGATAATAATAATAATAAAAATAATAAATGTCCACGAATCAACTCTCACTCTTGATTCCAAGAACGACCATTAAAAGCATGAATCTGAGCTGTTCTTTGCTGCTTTTTATCCGCTCTAACATTATATCTTTTAAATTTTAACTTTTGATAACAATAATGACTAAGTCACTCAAAAAAAATTTAATTAAAATTTTTAATAATATAATTTGCCACAAATTTAATTTTATTTTACTAAATAATTACTAAAGTTAGCCGAGGTTTTTATTTTTTTTGATTAAATTAAAACTAAAAAAAAATTTTTTTAAATTGCACTTACAATTTTTTAAGTTTAGTATTATTTGAAAAAAAATTTTTTTTATTTTTTATCTTATAATAATAATAATAATAATACAGTCGAATCGCGTTATGAGTCCGGCTTGTTTTCTTTGTTTTTTAACCAGACTCGCGTTAACAAGAGAGACACAAGGAGGGCTCATAACGCGACTCGACTGTATATAAAAAGATGAATAAAGAAAAAACTTACTTCCATAGACGGTTCCGCGGTGGCGTCTTTTGTACCATGGACAGCAACTGCAGCACAAACACGAGATGCATAAAACGAAGAATGTCACTACGACAATAACAGCTATAATAGCAGGAACAATTATTCCTAGTCTGAAAATTAAATAGTAAAATTTTATTAAAAAAAATAATTAATGAAAATTAAGTTATAATAATAAAGTTAGCCAACATTTTTGATTTTTTTATTTTGCTTAATTTATTAAATTATAACTAAAAAATAATTTAAAAAAATTGCACTTATAGTTTTTGAAGTTTTTAACAAATGGAAAATATTTTTTTTTTATAAAAAAAATCATAAAAATTTTTTTTAATGAAAAAATTATTACAAAAAAATATTTTTTGTTTTTAATTTAATAAATGAAGTAAAATAAACAAAATAAAAAATATCGGCTAACTTTTTTATTATTATTATTATTATTATTATAAATAATTATGCAGAAACTTACCCAGTTGTCAGGGCGAATTCTTGAGCATCGCAGCAATAATAATCTCCATGAGTATTAAAGCAACAATATTCTTTTGAACTATCGTCGATTATAGGCCTGGGGCAACGGCTAATTACCTCGTCTAAAAAATTTTTACTTGAACCCAAGGAACAGTCCATACCTGTAAAAAACAAGTTCAATAATTAGTTAGTTGTAAAATTCCAGAAAATGATAAATACAAGATAAAAATATAATTGAGATTAGTGGTCATATCATTTTGAATTGGTTGCATGGACAAAGAGGGGACGTTACACTGGTATAAAAAAAATCAAATGCGCACAATAGATTTATCAAAAATTGCAAGTAATTATAATGTTTGTAAATTTGAAGAAAAAAATAATTTACCATAAACAGTGGAGGTACTAAAAACAATTACAAGAGTTGTAAGTGTTACAAATGACGTCATCTTGAATGATTTAATCACAAGTTGTTGAGAAATAATGTATATACTGTGTGTCTTTATATTTATACGACGCGATGCGTTTCAACAACCACCTTCAACTGCCCACAACTGCTTTTATTCATTCTCACTTTCGTTAGCTGCGCGAGTATTCAACAAATGACTGCTGAAAAAAGAATCTGTTAAAGAGGGGATACACACAGCATCACACTAATACACTTTACACTCATTCGGTATCAGATAATTGATAATATTAATAATTTTCTAATAATTCTGATGATTTAACTTGTATTGAAATTGAAATTTTATTTTTTAACAATTTATTGTTATTATAAATATAAATATTTAATAGTTTTTTTTTTTTTATAATACTGAAGTCAGCTGTCATTTGATGATTTTTAGAATTTTTTTTTATAAATATTTTATTATAATAAAAACTTTCTAAAAAATTCCACTTGTAGATGTCAAAAAAATTCATTGTTGCTTTTTTTTATTTTTTAAGTAATTTATTTGTTGTAAAAATCCAAAAAATTGACAGTTGTCAGCTAACTTCAGTTTAATTTTTTTTTTCACTTTGAACTGATATTTTTTTTAACATTATTGCCGCCAAAATCAGAAATTTTATAATAAAAGTATTTTTTTCAATTAAAAAAAAAAATTATATATTAAAAATGATAATAATAATTAAAAATATCACCCCAAAATTTTTTTAAAACTTCATAAAAATTTTTTTTGTCAAATTTAACTATTTGAAACTCACAGTCGGTTATTTCCAATGAAAAATTGAAATATTAAAACAGCCAATCAACATTGTCTGAGCCGCCATCTTGAAAACAGCGCATTCTGTCCTCGGAATACAGATAACTCGCTCTTTTACTCGAGGAAAATCATCGGACTCGCATCAAGATGGGTCGTATGCACGCACCCGGGTAAATAAATTGTTTTTTAAATAGATATTTAATTATTAATCCATTAAAAAATTTTTTTTTAATTGTAAATATATTTATTTGTCCAAAAAAATTGTTTATTTGTCCGTGGATTGAAGTCCAAGCTGAGTTATTAAAAAACATAACCTAAAATGCCATGTGCTTGTGATGTCATTAAAATTAAATTTTTAATAAAAATTATATAAAGTTTATTAATTACTAGCTTTAAAAAATTAATATGAATTTTAATTAAAAAAAAAAAATAATTTTATTAATTACAGAAAGGGTATATCCCAATCGGCGCTGCCTTACCGCCGTAGTGTGCCAACTTGGCTAAAACTTACACCGGAGGATTGTAAGGATTTGATCTTCAAACTTGCTAAAAAAGGGCACACCCCCTCACAAATTGGTATGTAATTAATTATTCCTGTAATAATATATAGTTAATATTTAATATAAAGTATTAAAAGCTAATAGTTAATGTTTATTGTCAATAGGGGTTATTCTTCGTGATTCTCACGGAGTTGGTCAAGTCCGTTTCCGAACTGGAAACAAAATTTTGAGAATTGTAAAAAGTATGGGTCTGGCTCCCGATTTACCGGAGGATTTATATTATTTGATTAAAAAGGCTGTCTCTATTCGAAAGCATCTCGAACGCAACCGAAAAGATAAAGACAGTAAATTTAGATTAATTTTGGTAGAATCCAGGATTCATAGACTTGCTCGTTACTACAAGAGCAAGGGGAGTCTCCCACCATCATGGAAATACGAGAGTTCCACAGCTAGTGCTCTTGTAGCGTAAATTTTCTTTATATACAATAAAAATTCATTGAAATATATATATTTGTTTATGGTTTATTAATTTATTTTTTATTTCAATTATTTATAGTTACTAAAATAATTAAATAAGTTAGATTAAAAAATTAAAATTTAACAAACTAGATTTAATAGTTCTTGATGATCCAGGTAAGTGGAGATCAGTAACCAGCAAACAGCTATTAGTTCAGCTTACAAATCTAAATATATTTAAATTCAATATCGAGAATAAAGTATGATAGTCAAATTACCTGACTCTATATAATTTTTTATTTGTATCAAATAAATTAGAGTAAGAAAATTTTATTAAAAAAATTCCATCTTGGGAAACTCATAAAAATTATAAATGCAATTTTCTAAAAATAGTTTTCTAGATCGAGTTTATCTTTCAAGAAAAATCCAAAAAATTTCGAGTTTGCTAATAACAGTGTCAAAAAATTATAAAAATTTTTAGATGTCATTTAATTTAATTTTCGTAAATAAAGTCATGCTAAAAGCAATTGATCAGCTGACTATATATCATTAGTAAGTAACCAATCAATATCGCTTGAGTCGCCATCTTGAAAATAGCGCATTCTGTCCTCGGCCACGGACTACGGATACTTTGTTATTGTTACTTTAAATACTAGAGAAAAATCATCATACACTTGTCAAAATGGGTCGTATGCACGCACCAGGGTAAATAAATTGATATTTAATTATTTGTAAATTCAAAATTTTTTTTAATTATAAATATATTTATTTGTCAAAAAAAATTGTTTGTGATTAAAAAACATAACCTTAAATAAAAATCATACAAAGTAAATAAATTACTACCTTTAAAAAACTAATATGAATTTTAATTGGAAAAAATAATTTTATTAATTACAGAAAAGGTATTTCCCAGTCGGCTTTGCCGTACCGCAGGAGTGTTCCTACTTGGTTAAAACTTACACCGGAGGATTGTAAGGATTTAATTTTCAAACTTGCTAAAAAAGGACACACCCCTTCCCAAATTGGTATGTAATCAATTATTCCTGTAATATAATATATAGTAAATATTTAATATAAAACATTAAAAGCTAGGCGTAAAAGCTAATAGTTAATGTTCATTGTCAATAGGTGTCATTTTGCGAGACTCACATGGTGTGGGTCAAGTACGTTTCCGAACTGGAAACAAAATTTTGAGAATTGTGAAGAGCATGGGACTCGCCCCTGATCTACCTGAAGATTTATATTATCTTATCAAGAAGGCTGTGGCTATTCGCAAACACTTGGAAAGAAACCGAAAGGACAAGGACTCTAAGTTCCGTTTGATTCTTGTGGAATCAAGAATCCATCGACTTGCTCGGTATTACAAGAGCAAGGGTTCACTTCCACCATCATGGAAGTATGAGAGTTCGACAGCTAGTGCTCTTGTAGCGTAACTTCTCTTTATATATATAATAAAAATTCATTGAAATATATATGGTTTATTATCAATTTATTTATTATTTTAATTATTTATAGTTACTAAAATAATTATTTTTATCAAGTAATTGTCACTCTGACAATTCTTATTAGTTTTTATTTAATTTTTACAGCTAAGTTAGATTAAAAAATTAAAATTAAAAAAAAAAGTAGATTTAACAGTTTTTAATTGTCCAGGTAAGTAAACATTTAGTATATTTATTAATTATCCAATAAATAATAAATATCAGTAAATAGCAAATAGCTTTTAGTTCAATTAACAAATTTAAAAATATTTAGATTAAATTTATTTGAAGTTAATGTTGAAAATAAAGTATGCTAATCAAATTGCATGACCTTCCACAATTATTCATTTTTATCATTTAAATCATTTTTACCAGATAAAAACCAAAAAATTGTCGAGTGTCTGCTAACAGTGTCATAAAAAATTATTAAATATTTTTTTTCTACATATTTTCCTTGAAAAATGTGGATTCAAAGGGAATACACTATACTAAAAATTACTAAACCAAAGTGATACGATTATTATTATTATTTATTAGTCAACAAAAATATATTTAAATAATTAATTATTATTTAATAAACTTTAATTGGATTAATTAGATTATTTGGATGCCACAGCTGTGGTGGTATATTGAGCGATTTCTTTGTGTATATCCGTGTGAGATCTACAGTACGTTGATTGAGTTGTCCCAGTTGTTGGCGCTTGGCGGTGTTGAGGCGTTTTTGGTTGCGAGTCTGCCACTAGAGGCGTGACCGCGCTGACAGTACCGCCACAAAAATGCGACTTACGCGTCATCTGTTGTACATTAGTAGTAGTTATTTTATACCTTGATACCAATGTGATGTTATATCACGACTTGGTCGCTGGAGGCGCCATCACGCGAGAACAAATTATGATAATTTATAGCGCGAGAAATTCAGAAACTTATAAAATAATTTAGAGAACGCTAAGGAAATTCCCATTAATATTTTAGTCTCCTGGTCACTCTCTAGAAATTTCCCATCCATTGTAATTAGAATAAGTATCGTAAAAAGATTAGAATAGGATGGTAATAGGATTAGAGTAAAATATATGGCTATAATTTTAGTATTAGAAATGTTTGTTAAGGAGGTCCTTTCGCCGCCAATGTAAAATAAAAAATATTAGATTATGAGTAAATTCAATTTTTTTCTAATAGTTAAGGTCCTTATTTATCTAATAGTGAGGTTTAAACTATACTTTACCGGACAAATTTTTGAAAAAATAAAATTTTTAAATGTTAGCATTTGTTCAGAGTCTTACGAGAAAGTCAGACGTTTGCAGTATTTCTCGAATTATACTATCAGTCATGGATTAGATGAAGTAAAAAAAAACTAAAAATTAGATTTTCGAAATCTTCAGGTTTCTTTTTTTGCAATAAAATATATCAGTTACCGAGATATTTATTGAGAAATTAATATTTAAAAATCACAAAAAATTCTCAAGTAACCTACGTTAAAATAGAGTCAAAACATTTGGCAACGTTGTGTATCGCGCGAGCTTCAGACCATTCAATAAATTCAAACTAATTTATTTATTTACACTGACTGCAAAAACTTAAACGTGGTTAAGGTTATATTGTGCAAATGAAAATGTAAACAACCGAAGTACAGCGTTGCCAAATCACGGACAGGTTACTAGCAGTTGATTTGAAAGAGTCAAATTAATTTTTGTATTTAACTATTTTTTTTTTTATTTTCAAAATTTCAACGATTAATGCCTCATATACTATTTATTATCTAATTTTAGGAATTTTTATGGGTTTCTTTTTTTAATTTATCGTATATTGACTACTACAATTGTTTTGACTCAACTGGAGCGAAAGGATTTCCTTAAATGTTGTAGGCTGATAAGTTTTACTAGACTCATTACAAATTATATTTTAAGTACTATATTTTATATTTTAAGTATTTATGAAAGACAGTCTGGGCGGATTATTGACCCTCATTTGAGCACAATATTGTCGGGCCGCCAGGTCTCTAAAAAAGGTTCCCAGTCATTAGGGAGTTGGGAAATTCCCTTGCCAGACTCAGGTATCCAGGTATCCAGCATGGTCGGAAAGAGCGAGCACGTGGCCAACGCTTCGAGCCGAAGTATACCTGAGAGAAGAGCAGCCGATTGACGTCATCAGCATTCTCAACTGTGGGACCCTAGTGCAGTAGAGGAAGCTGCCCCACCATCGCTTCTGGTTCACTTCGGACTCAAGACCAAACTCGGAAGAATCAGAATATCCTCAGCCCTCAGACTGATCTTACATCTTCACTAAATATTGTAATATCCAGATAATTTAATACGGTGTAAAGTTTTATCCAACAATATATTTAAATCAATTTAAACTAATATTCTCTTCGAAGTTATTTTTCACGTTAAAACCCAGTCATTTATTAATATTTATTCATTCCCGCTATTTCAAAGTTAAGTATTTCAATATTCCCGGGCGAATTACGACCACGTCGGTAATTTAGACTCAATAAAATAAATTCACGCGCGTCCACTAGAGTTAGGACATAACACCAACACCAACCAGTGCTCTTGAAGCGCGGGCGGGCTCACCTGCGTCGTATTTCGGCTTCTTTAGTTAACCAATCTTTGTTTACAACTAAATTTTACCGTTACTCTAAATTATATTTCAATGAATTACATTCTCTACCTTGATGATAATAAACAATAAAAAAACATAAACAATAATCAAAACTATTTTACAATAATGGAAGTAACACGTTCAAGTAAGTTTCATTTAAATTAATAACAACTCATTTTTACAATTACACATTGTGAATAAGTATTGGACAAATTATAATAAAATGAATCATGTTCTTTGTTTTATACAAATTTTAATGTAGTAAAATAATTAAAATTTATTTAGCAGATATTTTATAGTATTAAGAACTTTTTATCGGATAAAATGTGATGAAATTAAAATTAGCAGTCAATTGACCATTTTTTAATTTTTTTTTTAATAAACAGAATTTTTCCGGAAAATTATTTTAAAAAAATTTGATTTTTGATTTTATAAAATTTCTACATGTCAATTATTTTTATATTTTTTTTTGCCATAATTTATTTGTCAAAAAAAATTATTAAATATCTGCTAAATTAATGTTAATTTAATTATGGCAAAAAAAAAAAAAAAATTAAAAATATAATTTTTTTAAAATAATTTCTTGGAACAAATTTTTTTTATTGAATATAATTAAAAAATGATCAAGTGACTTTTTACTCCAATGTCATTAATATAATGAAAATTAATTTAGTACTAACTTTAATGTCACAATAAAATACAGTATTTGTCTTAAAATTAATCAAAACATCTATTTTTTTACCACAGATTTCCAACAAGTTTTAAGCGAGCTTGATCAGGTGCTGAAAGATGCAACATTTTTGGCAATTGATGGAGAATTCACAGGATTAAATTCTGGACCTGATGCTAAACCTTTTGATACTCCGTCTCAATATTATCAAAAGTTAAAATCGGGTTCAATGGATTTTTTGCTTGTACAATTTGGTCTGTCAGCTTTCACATTTGATGTACAAACGAATAAGTACTTAATTTTTATTATTGAAAGCTATTTAGTGACGAAGGTTTATTTTATATTTTTATTAAATTAAATAATTATAGGTACAGTCAAAGATCTTACAATTTTTACGTATTTCCAAGACCATTTAACAGAGCGGCTCCAGATTGCAGATTTATGTGTCAAGCATCGTCAATTGTATTTTTAGCATCTCAAGGGTTTGATTTTAATAAATTATTCAGAGACGGTATACCTTACTTAACAACTAGTGATGAGGAGAAATTAACGAGTAAGTTAGAAGAAAGACAGAAAGCTAGAGAAGATGGTTTGGAGCTTATACCCATTTCAGATGATGATAAGCCTCAAATTGAAAATATTTGGTGAGTTTCATTATCTAATTTTTTTAATAAATGATTACAGCAAGAAAAATTTATTTAAAAATATTATAAAAGTAATTTTTTAAAAATAATTTTCTAGAGTTTATTTTTCAAGAAAAATTGAAAAGTTTCTGATAATTTTTTTATTCTAATAATAATTAATAATTATTTAATTAAAAATTGTATACTTTTTTAAAGTCATTAATTTTTGATATAAAAAAATAAAATTTTTTATTTTTAGCACCAAAATCGAAGAATTCATGAGTTCCAATGAGGAAGAAACAATGTTAAATAGATGCAATGCTTACATCAGAAGGATAATCCATCAAGAAGTAAGATTACGGTGGCCTAATAAAATCAGAGTTGAAGGAAAAGTTGATGGTGCAACACAGGGCTTGATGGTTTATAAAATGGGTACCAAAGAGGAAGAAAAGAAAAAGGAAGAAGAAAGGCGTGAAAAAAAAAAAGAAGAATTGAAGGAAGCTGTGGGTCTTAGTGTACTATTGCGAAAAATTGCTGACTCTGTATGTATTATTATTATTATTATTATTATTATTTTTTTTTTTTTTTATTTGAATAATAAAATAAATTTTTATTTTTCAGAATAAATTGATAGTTGGACATAATATGCTTCTAGATCTTTGTCATATAGTCCGTCAATTTTTTGGTCCACTGCCAGATTCGTACAAAGAATTTAAGTTACTGGTCCACAATTTATTTCCTAATCTTATAGACACTAAGGTACTCTCACAAGCACCTAACTTTAAGGATATTATACCTTCAAGTGTACTGAATTATATGCTAGACACTGTGAGCAAAGCACCATTTAATCTACCCGAAATAATTCCTGTGGAAGATCGAAGTTATAGTACTGCTGCTGAGACGTATCATGAAGCTGGGTTTGATGCATATGCCACTGGATTGTGTTTCATTGCGATGGCTAATTTTCTTGGTAAATATATTTATACTAGTAACTTTGCAATCACTATGTGTAATAAATAAAATTTTGCTTTATTAAACAATGACTTTAGTTAAATTGCGTGTATTTTCTTAACAATTGACTTTTTTAAAGATATAAGCTCATCCCGATGTTACACTCATCAAGAGCTTTCATTTGAGTACCCACATGCATTTTTGATATATTTTTCATATATACATATATGTAATATATATAAATATATCAAAAATTGATGTGGGTACTCAAATGAAAGGTCTCGATGAGTGTAATGCCAGGGTGAGCTTATATCTTTAAAAATATCAATATTTCACAAGATACAAGGTCACTTCTTAATTATTGACATTTTTAAAGATATAAGCTCATCCCGATGTTACACTCATCAAGAGCTTTCATTAGAGTACCCATATGCATTTTTGATATATTTTTCATATATACATATATATAATATATATAAAATATATAAATATATGAAAAATTGATGTGGGTACTCAAATGAAAGGTCTTGATGAGTGTAATGTCAGGATGAGCTTATCTCTTTAAAAATGTCAATAGTTCTCTAGATACAAAGTCATTTCTTAAATATATATCTAGAGATTTTCTTAATAATATAGATAATAAATTAATATTAAATTATTTTTATTCCAAAAAGAAAATAAGTAATATTGTTATTAATTTTTAGGAGCATCAGAATCAACTCCAGTGCCAATGGTGCTTCCTGGTTCAGAGTTATTGAAGCCTTTCATCAACAAGTGATAATTACAATCTTAATATATTTTTAATCAGCTTCATATTAAATTATTTTTTATTTATTTATTTTTTTTTACGTAGATTGACAATGCTTAGATTAAAAGACTTTTCTTTCATAAATCTCGTTGGTGCGGACCGTAAGTATAAATTTCTACTTTTCATTTACCGAATAATAATAATAATAATAATAATTATTATTATTATTATTAAAATACAAATTGTATTTACAGCTCAACCAAGCCGAAGTCATGTATTTCACGTCACATTTCCAAAAGAATGGAAATTAAGTAACTTACAACAACTTTTTTCCCCATTCGGTAATTTTATTTTTAATAATAGCAATTATTTTTAAACAGAGTGTAACAACATACAATATCAATGACTAAAAAATTTTTTTTAAACAAAATTAGGAGGAGCTTTCATATCATGGTTAACGGAAACAACAGCATACGCAGGATTGAATTGTCGTGAAAGAGCTCCAGCATTCCTTAAAAAATTAAAGAAAAAAAATTACCGCTTAGGAGGTGCCCAACTCCAAACTTATACTCACCATCAAGATTCACTGGAATCTTCATCAGTATCAAACAACGTAGAAGGAGGAAAAGGAGAAAAAGGAGATCGTAAAAGAAAACAACCACCTACTGAGTAAGTTAATGTTAATTAAATTATTTATAAATATTAAGAACAATAATTATCATCATCATCATCATCATCAAATGGTTTATTAGAATAATATAAATCGACTGAATGAGAGAGTGTGTTGTGTTGGGTAATCGGAAAAAATAGATGACATTAAATTTAGCTGTCACTTCATAATTTTTTTATTTTCTTCAATAAAAAAATTGTTTTTAAAAAATTGCATTTTTAATTTTATTAAATTTCTACAAGTCCATTTTTTTAATAATTTTTTTTCGCCATAATTTATTTATTAAAGAAAATTTTTAAAAAAATTATGAAGTGACAGCTAAATTTAGTGTCATAAAAAATCGATCAAAAAAAAATAGACCCAGAAAAAATAGACCTGGAAAAAATTTTTAAGTTATGAAAAATTCATATTATTTCATTCAAATCATCATAAAAATAATAATAATAATAATAATTTAATAATTTTTATTTTATAACAATTCTTTATGATAAATTTATCAGATATTTAATAATTTTTTTTTACAAATAAATTATGGCAAAAAAAATTGACATGTAGAAATTTTAAAAAATTAAAAGTGCAATTTTTTAAAAATAATTTTTTGGAGCAAATTTTTTTGTTAAAAAAAAATTAAAAACTTCTTTAATGACTCCTAACTTTAATGTCATAAATAATTCTAATGAAATAATATGAATTTTTCATAATTTAAAAATTTTTTCATATCCACATATTTAAAATAATATTTATTTTTCATAACTAAAATTTTTTCCGAGATTCATTGTATTGTTATTGGACGTACTTGGCAAACGTGAAAATAATTTAATGTTCTCTTTTCTTATTCACATTCTCTCATTCTAAGTTTATAATTTTTACCAATTTCTCGTAAGTTTCCTGTACAAGTAACTATTTGCATAGCGTTGTTAACTTCAAGTCAGAATTAATGGCCATTGCGTGGCTCGTTACACGTGTAATATACATCTTTGGATCAGAGCAGTCTTAATTTTTTTTATTTTTATTTTTAATTTAAAGAAAAAATAATTCTAATGTTTATTCTATTGTCGCTTTTAAAAATTGCACTTAACAGAAATAGGTGAGAGTTTGTTGAATTTAATCATTGAATTAAATGTGACCACCTAGACGATTAAAGTTTATACAAATTAAAGCATCTGCTTGTTTGTACACATGTACAGATTTATACGAAGAATCATCCATACGATTAAACAAACACGCTTTGTTAGATCTTTTCTTAAGATTTAGCATTATCTGATTTACGCACCTTTACAGTACAGCCGATACATAAATGTTTTTTATTTAAACCATTACATCTTGCTTATTATAATGAGTATGAGATTGGAGTTGTCTTGAGATTAATCTAATAAATAAAAATAAAATAAAATGAAATAAAATAACAAGATTGAGAAGAATAAGAAGACTAAATATAAAGAGAAGAAATGAATAAAGAAGAGATAGAAGAAGAATAAGAATAACTTGGAGAGAACAAGTCGAGACGTAATAAAGGTACGCCTAATTATCGCGCTCATTACGATACAAACGAGCCGCGTTGCCCACGTGCGAATAAAACCAACACTGTGTGCCAAGTATTAGAGTTTGATTAGAATAATGCAACATGCAACTCGGATAACGTGCCGTGGCGTGGCAAGAGCTTCGCAGCACTCTGGAATGCAAATCCAGACGAGTCTTGCATGTACACTTTTCCTTACCTATATGTATATATACATGAGTCACACACGATTAGACACACGCCTCCTCCCCTTGTATACACCGCAACGGCTAGGAAATAATCTTTTAACTTTTAAACTTGAGCATTCACATTTTGCTCTGCTCTATTATTCATACACTCAAGATAGTTTTACAAGAGTACTTTAATTAGTTTATACAACATGAATAAAAAAAATATAATAATTATAACTAGCAACCTTGTCACTATGTGACTACCGTGACTTGTGAACTATAAATAAATAAAATTTTGCTTTATTAAATAATGAATTTTGTTAAATTGCACTGTACTTTCTTCAATATTGACATTTTTAAAGATATAAGCTCATCTCGATGTTACACTTATCAAGAGCTTTCATTAGAGTACCCACATGCATTTTCATATATTTTTCATATATATATATATATATATAATATATATAAATATATGAAAAATTGGTGTGGGTACTCAAATAAAAGCTCTTGATGAGTGTAACATCGAAATGAGCTTATATCTTTAAAAATATCAGTAGTTGATAAGATACAAGGTCATTTCTTGATAATTGATATTCTTAAAGATACAAGCCCATCTCGATGTTAGGTTCATCAAGAGCTTTCATTCGAATACCCACATGCATTTTCATATGTTTTTCATATATACATATATATAAATATATGAAAAATTCATGTAGGTATTCAAATGAAAGGTCTTGATGAGTGTAATATCAGGATGAGCTTATATCTTAAAAAATGTCAATAGTTAAGAAAGTAAAGTGCAATTTAATGTAATTAAAAAAAGATCTTGCATCATGAGAACTATTGACCTTTGTAAAGATCTAAGCTCATCTCGATGTTACACTCAGTAAGATCTTTCATTTGATTACCCACATCAATTTTTCATATATTTATATATATTATATATATGTATAAATGAAAAATATATATGAAAATGCATGTGGGTACTCAAATGAAAGCTCTTGATGAGTATAATATCGGGATGAGCTTATATTTTTAAAAAGGTCAATAGTTAAAAAAGTACAGTGCAATTTAACAAAATTCATTATTTAATAAAGCAAAATTTTATTTATTTATAGTTCACAAGTCACGGGGCAGTCACATAGTGACTGCAAGGTGGCTAGTTAATATTAATTAATAAAAGCAAAACATACATACAACACTTGCACTTGGAAAATACATTAAACAGTTTGTCATTAGAGACTATTTTGTACTAACACGAGTAATAAAACTCGAGCATAATAACGACATGAAATCGTATAAGAATTAGCTTAAAGGTTCTCTTTGATTGGCGATTTTATCCCTATATGTATATGGATATGTACCTATATATACATATATAAATGCGAGGGTGTCTCACGCGTGAGATAACGTTTGGATAACGAGTCGACTACGAGTTAGCACACGCAATAAAACCAGGACTACCAGTGCTACGCGGTGTTAACGAGTTCGATAGTCCAACACCGAGTTAAACATTATCGAGTATTGAAATAAATCTCGATAAATAAATTGACTACCTCAGCTTAAATTCCCGCAACATACTTTTCGTTTATATGTAAATAAATTCAGAGGAAAGGATTTTTCCGCATACTCAGAAAACCTGAAACCGACAAATTTTATGGGATAAATAAAACAAAAAAATTACAATCAAAGTTAGATACATGTATAACAGTCTTTTTTTGTTTTTTCTTTACCCTCGTAGTATTTGTGTTAGCTTGAATCGGGGTGATGCATCGGTACCGGCTTTGACATATGATATATGCCCTCACAAACTGAATCTCTAATACTTTTCTTTTATTGTCCGAACGCTGAGTTTAACAAGACTATTTTTTCTTCTATATGTATTTTATTTTTTGAATAAAACTTTATTTAATAATGAATTTTGTTGAATTGCACTGTATTTTCTTAACTATTGACTTTTTTGAAGGTATAAGTTCATCCTGATGTTGCACTCATCAAGAGTTTTCATTTGAATACCCACATGCATTTTGATATATTTTCCATATATACATATATATAATATATATAAATATATGAAAAATTGATGTGGGTATTCAAATGAAAACTCTTGATGAGTGCAACATCAGGATGAACTTATACCTTCAAAAAAGTCAATAGTTCTCAAGATACAAGGTCGTTTCTTAATTATGTTGAATTGCACTGTACTGGCTTAACTATTGACATTTTTTAAGATATGAGCTCATCTTGATGTTACACTCATCAAGAGCTTTCATTTGAGTACCCACATGCCTTTTCTATATATTTTTCATATATACGTATATATATAATATATATAAATATATGAAAAGTTGATGTGGGTACTCAAATGAAAGGTCTCGATGAGTGTAATGTCAAGGTGAGCTTAGATCTTTAAAAATGTCAATAGTTCTAAAGATACAAGGTCGTTTCTTAATTATGTTAAATTACATTCTATTTTCTTAACTATTGACATTTTTAAAGACATAAGCTCATCCCGATGTTATGTATATTGAGACCTTTCCTTTGAGTACCTTCATCAATTTTTCATATATTTTTCATATATACATATATATAATATATATAAATATATAAAATATATGAAAAATTGATGTGGATACTCAAATGAAAGGTCTCAATAAGTGTAACATCATGATGAGCTTATATCTTTAAAAATGACAATAGTTCTCGAAATACAAGGTCAATGACTCCAAATTTTACTAAAAAAAAAACCGATTTTACCATATGACTATCCCGGACACAAAATTTATCTTATTCTCTTAATAATATAGATTCTCTGCAATCAATCAGGGTGATTTAAAATTGGCTATTTTTTTATAAGACTAAAAAAATTTATTGTATTTTGTTTAACAATTGTTGCTTTTTTATTGTTTATATAATTAAAAATTTTTTTTTAATAAAAAAGAAAGTAATAATTAATTAAAAACAAAATTATTTTTAAATATGCAAATTTTACCTTGATTGACTGTCTAAAAAAAAATACAAATTTATTTAAAAAACAATAAAAAATTATTTTTATTTACCAAATAAAAATTTTATTTTATTTTACAGCTAATAATGATGATTGTAGGGTTATTAAGGATGGCAATAAAAAAGAACTTACCTAAAGGTGGAGGTGCGATGCCTGAGATTTCCATGCATCATGCGGGACTATACTAGCAAAGAGTCAACTCAGATAGAAGAAAGAAAGAGATTGAGAAAGAGAGAAAGAAAGCGATGAAGCACATACAGCTGCTTGTTGTTGATGCT